TGATGGTGGTAAGATTATGTGTGGGATTCTGTCCCTTTTTCCTTTTGGCTGTTGGTAAGTTGGGATTATCTATTGCCTATGTTTTTCTGGTTGTAGTTAACTTCCTTGGGTTGCAGTTTTCCTTCCAGTACTTTCTGTAGGGCTGGATTGGTGGATATGTATTGTTTGAATCTGGTTTTGTCATGGAATATTTTGTTTTCTCCATCTATACTGATTGAAAGCTTTGCTGGGTATAGTAGTCTGGGCTGGCATCCATGGTCTCTTATTAGTGTAGGTAGAATATCTATCCAGGACCTTCTGGCTTTCAGAGTTTCCATGGAAAAGTCAGGTGTGATTCTGATAGGTTTGCTTTATAGGTTACTTGACCTTTTTTCTTGGCTACTCTTAAAATTTTCTCTTTGTTGTGTATGTTTGGTGTTTCAATTATTATGTGGCGAGGAGACCTTTTTTTTTTTTTTTCGTTCAGTCTATTTGGTGTTCTGTAGGCTTCTAGTATTTTCATTGGCATGTCTTTCTTTAGGTTGGGAAAAAAGTTTTCTTCTATGATTTTGTTGAATATGTTTTCTGTGCCTTTGAGTTGGATTTCTTCACCTTCTGCTATACCTATTATTCTTAGGTTTGGTCTTTTCACGGTATCCCATATTTCCTGGATATTTTGTGATAGGAATTTGTTGGATTTAAGATTTTCTTTGGTTGATGAATCTGTTTCCGCTAGTGTGTCTTCAACTTCTGAGATTCTCTCTTCCATCTCTTGTATTCTGTTGGTTATGCTTACATCTGTAGTTCCTGATCATTTACCAGCTTTTCTATTTCCAGCATTCCCTCACATTGTGCTTTCTTTATTGTCTCTATTTCAGTTTTCAAGTCTTGAACTGTTTGTTGATATCTTGTATTTTTTGGTTTGTTTTTTCTTCCATTTCTTTAAGGGATTTTCTCATATCCTCTTTGAGGCCCTCTATCATTTTCATGAAGATGCTTTTAAGGTCATTCTCTTCTGGTTCATCTGCATCATGATGTTCAGGTCTTGCTGGTTCCTAGTCTCCGGTGGTATCATATTGGGTTTTCTGTTGTTGGATGTGCTTTTACCTTGTCCTCTTCTCATCCTTTCTTCTGGTGGGTGTAGCAAGAGTTTCTTGCTCTCTTAGAGGGTGTGGGACCAAGGTTCTCTCTGGCAGATGCAAACAGATCCAATACTCTGATGTCGGTCCTCTTCTCGTGGATGGAAGTGTCACTGTTACCCGGGCGTCGGCAGTGTTCGGGTGTGCTGGGTCCCGCTGGGCCCCGTTGGAGGCAGAGCTGTCACCAGGCCTCAGTGTGTCGGATCCCGCCACCAAACTCGGTCCTGCATGCAGGTTGCTTGTGTCAGATGACTCTGAGCAGCGACAACGATGAACCCTCATTTTTATTTTTGGTGTGTGTGTGTGTGTGTGTGTGTGTGTGTGTGTGTGTGTGTATGTGCAGGTATGAGTGTGTGCGTGAGTGTGTGTGTATGTGTGTGTGCCGATACAAATGCATATGAAGGTTAGTGGTCAATCTTAGGTGAAGGCAGGGTTTAAATGAGTCTACCAGACCCAAAATAAATGTTAGATAGGTGTTTATTAGGGAAGGACTTACACAGATAAGCGTAAATAACCCCTGCAGCCTTCCTGCTCCAGAAGATGCAGTCTCTGCCCTTCCAGTGCTATGCAACCCAAGAGCATGCACTCCTGCAGCTCCTCTACCTTAAAAGGGTCACATCTGCATCTGAAACCACGCCCAGAGGGTGTGGCCACTACTACAAGTTCACTGGCAGGGAAAGATGCCACCTCCCCAGTACTGATACTAAAAGCACACAGTGCCACGTCCTGCTGTTACGTGGGTTCTGGGGATTCAACTGAAATCCCCGTGCTCATGTATGTGGCAAGAATCCTACCAACTGAGCCATCTCCCCAGTGCCCCATTCAGTTAGTTTTAACTTCCATTTGTTAATACTGTGTGTGAGTATATGGTGTATGTGTAAGTGTGGGCATGTGCATGCCATCGTGTGCATGTGGAGGGCAGAGGACAACTTTTAGAGTCAGTTCTTTCCTGCCTTTTATGTGGGTTCCAGGGATTGAATTCAGGTAGCCAGGCTTGTGTGACATGTGCCTTTCTTTACCTGTTGAGCTATGCCCCAGCCCTCATTTATGCTTTTCAATTTTTTTATTATTTTGTATGTATGGTGTTTTGCCTGCATGTATGTCTGTGTGCCATGTGCATGCATGTCTAGTGTCCACAGAGGCCAGAAGAGAGTGTCAGATCACCAGGAATGAGTTACAAATGGTTGTGAGCCACCATGTAGTTGCTAGGAATCGAATCTGGGTGGTCTAGAATAACAGCAAGTGCTCTTAACTATGGAACCTTCTCTCTTACCCCTATTTATATTTTGGAGACAACTCACCAACATCTTTGTGAACTGCAGACCTCTACTGTTCTACCTATGGGAACAGGGCCCTGCAGCCAAGATCTCTTAAAAGCTTCAGAGTGGAAATGTGGGAACTCAGAAGCATGCAGGATACAGTTTTCCCCAGGCTGAACAGTACCCTTCCTGCCTCATGACTGTAGCCCCAGCAAGAACGTTCCGGTACTCATCTCTAGGCAGCCTTCTTTTTCTTTCTTTTTGTATACCAGGTCTCATTATATAGCCCAGGTTGGCCCCCTCATGCCACCACACCCAGCTCCCTTTCAGTTCTTTCCTTCAGGGGAACTTCAGGTATGTCACCAATAATCTTAAATCATTTCTTTAAAACCACACTACCTTAACTGCAAACCAGAGTATTTAGTGCTTGATCCCTTTTTGTTTACTGAATCTGCCTCACTCAGGGACCCAGAGGCCTGGTGATTTAGGAGCTAACTGTACATTCCCTACAAGGAAGGGTTTTGGGCCTCCTGATGTGGACTCCTGGGCTGCCCTGTCATTGTTGGTGTATTGCTAATGTCTCTCTCTTTCAGAAGAATGTCTGCTTTCAGCTTAATCCACTTATTGGTTGCAGATTCTTTTTGTCAGTGTCTGTGGGGAAGAGATGCCCACTCTCCCACCTAGGAGGCAGAAATCCCTCTTAGCATGTATTTAAAGTGGACCTAGAGAGCTGTGTTTACTCATTGTGTCTTACTGTGATTTTTCCTGGGTCTTGGTCAGGCCTTCTATTTCCAGAGCAGATTCTTGAGTCTACCACTCTGGCTGGAGTAGGCCTTGTTCCTGCTAAAGCAAGGCTCTTCATTTCTTTGTGCCTCTATTTCCTGACTGGTAAAGTGGAACAGTGACAGCACACACCATATTTATGACTACCGTCAGGAGTGTCCTGAGACATGTATAGAGAGTCTCTGTCAGGCAATGTTCCTGATTTCAGTCATGGTACTTGAGATGACTGAGGTTGAAGAAATAGCATTTTGCTGTGGCTTCATGAAGACAGGCGCATGGAATTGTCTGTCCTGGAAGCCACACTATGAGATCAAAGGTGAGCTTAGAGAAGCTGGCCCCAGCAGCCTTCTGCTGGCCCACAGCACACCTGCTATCTCCTCAGTCTCTGGGCCATGTTTCCCAGTGGGCTGCCTGCCAGACAGACCTCAGCAAGTGCATGTGAAAGGCAGGTCTGTGAGGAGCCTGGTCCTTGAACCTAACACTAGGCATAGGAGGTCTGCGACACTGGGTTTGTTTGCATTCACTCTGGGGAGCAGGATAGCCCACAGCCCATAGTAGGACCCCTCTACTTACATCTTCAGAGGCTTTTGGAGCCATAGCTAGCCACTGTGTCTTTATCTTCCTAGGTCATAGCCCCACCATTGACCACATTCTATACATTTGGAAGTCATTTTGTACCCTTTCTGTACAGTCAAGACAGGAAATTCTCTGTCCTACACCACGGATCCTTCTTGACAGGCTTCCTTCCTGCCCTTCCCACCTCTGGAACCCAAGCCATAGAGCCCCACATTTCCCAGCCCTGATCCCCATGACTCCTGCCATGCTTATGGAATATTCTCCATTTTGGATAGAGGGAGGGAAAGAAAGGAGCCAAGGACAGCCACTTGTATGGTAAACCAATAATTGGCAGGTATTTTGAGTATAGTGCACTTGAGGAGACAGAACAAGACCTGGGTCCCAGCACCGCTGCAGCTGCAGCCCCTTGGGGTCTGAGCAGTGCATAGCACCCTTAAGCCACCATGCACTGTGGGTGCTAGGATGGCCTCCTCAGCCCATAGACTCCTCTGTCTGTCTTGGATGCCCTGATGCTGCCCCTGGGTTCTGTGGCAGCTAGGCTGGTGTGTGGTTCCCTGGCTGACCTTGCCCTGCCCATGTTCTCAATGTCCAGCCAATGGCCGAGTACCTCTCCCCTATTCCTATTAGCCAGCTTCTCATCCCTCATGTGCCTGTTGATAACTCTAACTTCATCCCTGGTAACTCCAAACCATAAACAGGGAGCCATGCAGAGTGGGCAGGAAAAGACACCAGGAGGAGACACACAGTGCCAGGGTTTATTGCAGCTTAGGACAGGGTGAGCACACACCCCTCTCTAGCCCCAGATCCCACAGCCCCTCCAGCAGGCAGCGATCTTTCCTGTCATAGCTCTCTGGGTAGCTTGTCTTGCTTGGACAGTCCCATCTGCCATTGTGCACTTGAGATAACTGGCAGAGGGCTTCTTTATGTGATAAAGGCCACACAGGCTCACTGTGGGGAGCCCTACAGCCACAGGCTCTCTGTTTTGCTCCATGACATCACAGAAGATGAGGCCAAGACAGCCAAGAGGGTCCTCCAAGGGCCAAATCCTCACCTGGCCCCCTCCTCAAGTGGATCTTAATTGTCCCATTACCCTCCATGAGGCTGGTTTCACCAAGTGGAGCAGAGGCAGTGGGGGCCACAGAGGGTTCTTGTGGGCCGCATGGAGCATGCCTGCCTAAGGTTTTCATGGTCAGTTGTGCAGGTTCTGCTCCAAGTGGAGGGACTTGAGGGATTGGGGGATGCAATTGCCTTCCAGCACTGGGCTCTAGGAAGTATTCATGGAAGTCATGGGCAGGGAGCTGCAGGCCAGGGCACAGCTGCACTCATCGATGTGGGTATAGGTGTGCTGGATGACTGTACCGTTAGGACACTGCATGGTCACAGCTACATCATGGACCTTGCTCTCCTGGCAGCAGGTGCACTGATGCTCCATGGTCTGGGTCTCCATGGAGTACCTGTAGGCATGGGAAGGTCAGCATTTCAACTCCGTGATCCTCCGTGATCCAGGATAGTGACTCATGGTCATCTGTGGGCTTTTGGAAGCTGTCTGACTGTCTACCATGGCTACTTTCTTGAACACACAGCCTTGCCCTTCCTGGCCTCTCTTTAAACCCTACTTCATCTTGCATAGCCTCCTACGATTCTCCTCCCTTTCCATCCTGCTGACTTTGTTGAGACTTCCCCATCTGGACAGCCACCCTAAGCCCTGAAGCCAGCCTGGGACTCTTCCTCCTGTCTTCTCTAACCACTCCTTTTCACAGATTACCACAGCCTGAGGCCATCTGGGGACCACAGAGGGATCTGACGCTGCTTGTCCCTCTAGACACACTCAGATTCCTAGATACAAGTCCCCAGCCAAAACCCTATTCTGTATAGCTAAGCCAGGTTTGCCCCTGGCTTGACTTGAAGATGGGCCATATGTTTTATGCACACAGGTATACGTGGCCTCCTGACCCCAAGAAGGAGACAATCTCTGTAAGACCCAAGGTGATAAAGTAGCAACTGGTTCTATATACTTGGGGAGGCAAGGCACCCACTCACTTGGACTTTCCAGGGCAGGAACCCTCGCAGAAGGTGATGTTGACTGCCACCTCTGTTTCACAGCCGTTATGCTGCAGGATGGTTGTATTTACATGCACTCGGCATCTACTTGAGTCTGCAAAGAAGACAGGTCAGTACAGAGACCCTAGATGTTTACTCAGAGATCCTGAACACGATAAGGCTGACCCTCCGTGATAGTTAAATATTGACTGTCAGCATGACAGGACCTACAATCACCTAATTGATAGACAAAGTTCTGAGAGATTTTCTAGATTAAATTAACTTATAAGGGAAGATGCACCCTGAGTGTGGACAGGACCTCCCATGGCCTGGAGTATCAGACTGAATGAAAAGGAGAAAGTGAGCTTCTTGGCTGCAGACATATATGAGCATCTGCTTCTATTGCTGCCATGGGTCCCTGCCATAGTGGGACTATACACTCAAACCACGAGCCAAATACAGCTTTCCTTCCTTAAGTTGATTTTGCCACAGGAATGAAAGAAGTAACTGACACACCTTTCCTGGGTGACAGGCCCCTTCTATTATACTGGGACTTTGGTGGGATCTGCCACCCAGTGGGAGAAACTTGAATTGCTTTTGGATGGGAACTGGGTGGAGCTGGAGGGCTAGATGAGAGATATCTTCAACTTACCCTCTTTTTCACAGGAGTAGCAGCAACCTGTTTTCCTTAGGGTTCCCTGCAGGGCCAAAAATAGAACAGACTAGGACTGGGACAGAGCCAGGATAGGGTACAGCCATAGGGACACAGACTTCTTAGGTTAGAACCTTCCAGGGGCATGAGGGTGGACCACCTGAAGGCAGGGCCTCCCAGGCACATACCCTACAGTTGGACACATCAGGGCAGGCTGTGGGGGTTGGAGTCAGTATATGGATTCCAGTCTCAACCTTACAGTGGTACACAGTGCAGTTGTCCACAGGACTGTTCACCCATGTTTCATTGGGCTGGAAAGCAAAACACACAATAAAAGGTCCACACCGGGATCCACTTGTGGTTGAGACCTGCTCAGGGGAAGATCTCCTACACCCTCTACTATTACCTGCACTGCCTGGCCCTCTGGCGTGAGGCAGGCATTCTGTACACACTGCCCACAGCACTGCTGTGGCGTTGGCATGTACTTGAAGCCCTGTGGGGACAGGAGAGGTAGTCAGGTGTCTCATTCATCCCAGCCACCTTCTGAGTATACTCTAGGGGCCCTAGGCCTCCTTAGCAGGAACTGCTGAGAGGTCATGTCTTTGCTGTGTGTTGTACCCCCTTCTCAGGTCTTGCAGCTTAGCCTCTCTGTCTACTGTAGTGGTTCTCAGCATTCCTAATGAAATTATCCCGTTGCTACTTCATAGCTATACTTTTGCTACTGTTATGAATTGTAAATATCTGCCATGCAAGATATCTGATATGTGACTCCTGTGAAAGGATCATTTGACTCTAATGGAATTGTGACCCACAGGTTGAGAACTGCTAGTCTACTGGTACCATACTAGACCTGTTTCTAGTCAGTTCATCAACCTTCAGGATGTCCTCCAGTCCTCATCATCCCCCTACTTTTCCCGTTAGAAAACAAACAAACAAACAAACAAGACCTCAAAATTATAGTCAATTAAAGGACTCTTAATGATGGGCTGTGTTTGCCAGGACACAGGCTCACCCGGGGACAGGTGGTGGTACAAAGGATCTCTCTACACTGTACTTTTGGTTGTTGGTTGCCCACAGAGAAGCAGGTGCATGTTTGGCAAAGATCATCCCCTGGGAAGTTCGCACCGACCTAGAGCAGATGAGAAGAGTGGCACTGAGAGAAGATGGGGGCAGGGGGTGAGCTCATATCAGGTCAGGACTCTTAGCTGAGTCCAAGCATGGCCCATGGGCCCAGTTCTTCTCCCCCAGAGTGTAATTGTTCCCATAGTTGAACACAGGTGTCCAGTGGGTAGGGACAGCAGTAAGCTGGGAGACCCAGAAGCTTTACATAGCATGTGTGTGTGTGTGCGCATACACACACACATGGCCTTAGCTCCTATGTCTTAAGGGCCCAGATGCCCTCTTCAGATCTACCTTTATAGCAAGGATGCTGAGACAAGGATCAGGAACTGAGGGACATGGACTTCCTACCCGCCTTGGCCTACCCCTGCTGTCCGCCCTGCCCGGGCTGAGCTCTTACCCCGTAGAGGGTTTTGTTGTATGTGCACGTCAAAGGTCCTGAAAGGAAAGGGGGCTGAGTATGCATCTGGGCAGTGGGACAGAAACCCTTGCTCCTCCCCATCCCTGAACTCCACTACAACCAGCCTCAGTGCATCCTCCTCCATGCTTGAGCCCCGTTCCTACTCACGGCAGGTGAAGTTGGGGCAGCAGTTGCCATTCAAATGGGTTTGGATCAGCTCATACCCTGGGTCACACTTGGGCACACTCTGGGGGCAGGTGGTTGCATCACAAACTGTAGAGACATGGCCCTGTCAGGATGCTGCCCATTTTACCCCACCCTCAGCCCCCATCTTCTCCTTTCTGGAAATACTGGTGGCTTCTAGTGTCATTTTTCCTTAGGACCTAGTATGCTTCATGGCTTTTCTGGGTTTCGTCAAATTCCCTTACCCTTTCATCCCCTTGATCCTTACCAGTTCTCTGGTGTTAGGTCAGACCAGAGGTCACCAGCCTTATTTTTAGGTCAAAAGCTGAAGCATCTTGAGACCATCCCCCACCTGAATGGCCCAGTGTAGCTAAGCTAGAGTATGACTCCCCTACGTCCCCTGTAGGTGCTTACCACAGACTGTCTCGGGGCAGCATGGATTGTCAGCCTTGGGCCTGGTCACAGACACAGAGCCAGCTTCAGTGCACTCTGGGAGCTCCTTCTGGCTCTCGCACTGCACTGGCTCACAGTGTACTGACACAGAGCTGGGGTCACACACACAGGACTGGCAGTTGCTGGTCCAGTTTTCTCCAGGCTGAAACAGGCCAAGTCAGGATCTCTGAAGGCCATGAAGGTCCTAAAGTCCCTGGCCTGTCTGCCTGAACTCAACTTCAAGTCATTGTTTGCCCTCAGCAGGTTAGCCCTCTGCTGTCCAGGGTAATAGCAGGGAGGAAGCCCAGGATCCCCACATCAGCCTCTTGGGCTGTGAAGAGTCTGCCACCCTCCCTACTTCCTTCCTGCTCTTCTTTAGCTCAAGTTGGGGTCAGGGAGCAGCACCACTCACAGACTTGGGTAGCCCATCAGGTCCCACGCAGGCTGGAAATAAATGAGTAAGCTTGTTACTGAAGATGCTGCAGTTCAAGGCCAGGCAGAAGGGGGTCATAGGCTGAGAGAACTGTGCTCTCAGCCCTGGCTACCTGTACCCCAAGCCAAGACCTCACATTTTCTCCCAGGGTAGAACAGAAGGCCCTAGAGAATTCTGAGGGTCCCAGGTCCCTGAGGCAGTCAGTGATGAGGCTGGATGTTGAAAGTCTGGCACTTCATTCGGTGAAGGGAGGCAGCTCCTCTGAGCAGCTCCAAGCCGCAGAGTTTAGACAGAATGGTGGCAGGCTCATAGGAGGCCTTTAGACACCTGCAGGACTAATGACCTCACCAGGGTCCTCTCACATATTAGTCAGGCAGAAGAGGGTCTGCGGATGTGTTGGATCCTGGCCTGGCAGGCGAGGACCCTATGGGGGACGGGTAGGACGACAGACAGGGCTTGCCCCATGGTAGGTGAATGGCACTTACGGCACTCCAGCACACAGATGTCCATGTGTGAATTGAAGAGGAGCTGATTCTCAGGGCAGAAGCAGCCCTCTGCCAGTGTGCCAGTTGAAACGCTCAGTGTCCTAGTGTGAGGAGGAGCAACAAATATAGGATCAGAAATGAGGTGGCACCTCCAAGAGCCAGTTGTGGGGATCCCAGAGCTCAGACCCTTCAGACATGGGAGGCCAGCTGCTCCCTCCACACTCCCTATTAGCTGGCGCTCACCTGGAGCTGCAGGATACCGGATGCAGGGGCCCACAAGGCCTGTATTCCTTGGTGGGTGGACAGGAAAAGTCTGTGGGTACAGAGAGTGTCATCAGACAGGTTCAGAAGAACCAAGGAGACTGGAGCCCTGACTAAGTTGGATGCTCCCAACTCACCACATAGCCCTCCAGTGGCATTGCGCCAGGTGACGCACACACCCTGGGCCCGGCAGAGTGTTGCATAGGCCTCCAGGCTTTGGCAGAGCATGCCAGTAAAATTGGCACTGCAGTGGTCACTGACACAGGAATTGAAGAAGGTATCTGGAGGGATGAGCCTGTGGCACTCGGCGAAGACCCTGTGACAGTAAATGGTCAGGACTGGGAGCTCAGGGCCCAGGAGGGAGGCTAGGCAAGGGGACTGCTGCCCAGGCCCACCACCCTAAAGACTGACTCACTGGCTCAGCATCAGCTCACAGAGGGGCGCAGTAGGGCATGGGGTAGAGGTGGGTGTGCTGGACACTGGGGGCTGGGAAGTGGTGCTTGGGGGAGGGCTAGGCTGAGCTAAGCAGCTGTTGTTGCTATTCCCAGGCACCAGCCAGTCTTTGGCCATGTCCTGGCAGTTGGAAGCTATGGTGCCATCTGGCCGGCGGCAGTCATCTGTCTGGCTGTTTGTGCAGGTACCTGGTGAATAGGGTAGGGATGACAATCAGCCTCTTGCTGTTTGCCGTAGACCCATTCCTTCCCCCCACTTATGGATGCAGAATGAGCCAGGCCATGCCTACTCACCACACCGGCCCTCAGTATTGTTGCTGAAGTATCTGTAGGGTAACCATATCTGGAAGATGTGCCCATCAAAGATGATGCTGGTGCCAATGGTAGAAATGTTGACACTCATCGTGGTGGTGCCACTCAAGGACACTGTCACACCATTCTTGCTGGAACCTGACCTTATCCACATTTGGTCCCATATGATCTAGGGATGTCCAAAGGGAAACAGTAACCAGGGGGCCAGCTAGGCAGCGGTGGATGCTGCTTTGCCAAACACCAGGGACATTCCTGTTTATTCCTCAACCTAGAGCTAGGTGATTATTCTTTCCCTAGGGCAGCTCCTTTAGGTCATTTCTGCAGAGGGGAGAGTGCTCTTGGTATCAAGGGCTTTTCATCTTTGCTTGTGTCACCCCATACTCAGGCCTTATGCTTGCAGTGTGGCCTTGGGGCTCTATCAAAGACTCACCAGGCTCTCCTCCTTCCCACTGGCAGTGGTGGTGATGGTAAGGACAATCTCCATGGAGTTGTAGTACACACTGAGGGCACGGGGACAGAAGGTGACATTGGTGGTAGCCCCACAGTAGTAGCTGTGAGCAAGGATGCTCAAGTTGCCATGGCGGGGGTGGATCTCTTTCATGAGCACTGAGCTGCAGTTGTCCGGGAAAGTATAAGAAGTGCCATCGAACGTCAGGTAGTGTGAGCGCCCCCATCCACTGCAGAAGCCTATGGGAGATGACAGTTGTAGGCTCACTTCCCAGTCCTGATACCCAGCACTGCCTCTGGAACTGTCCCTTCAGGGGAACACAGTTTCTTCATCTATAAAATAGGTGTCTCCCAAACCATATCTACCTTGGGAACTATGAATGTGACATTGGTCTTAAAATGGGACCGTCCCAAATTACCTGGATGTCCCTTGAACCAAGTGACAGCATACTCATAAAAGACAGGAGAGCCGGGCGGTGGTGGCACACACCTTTAATCCCAGCACTCGGGAGGCAGAGGCAGGCAGATCTCTGTGAGTTCGAGACCAGCCTGGTCTACAAGAGCTAGTTCCAGGACAGCCTCCAAAGCCATGGAGCAGAAGACCGTAAGAAGATGGAGGCAGAATGTAGTGATGAAGCCACAAGCCAAGGAAACCTGTAGCCCTTAACTGGGAAAGTCAAGAAGGATCCTCCATAGGGATGACTTGACTGTCTTGATCTGACTCTAGCTTGGGGATGGGAGACCCTGAGTTTGCTGTTTTAGTCATTTAACACTCAGTAATGGAAGTTGTCATCAGGACTGCAAGAAAGGACTCCCACTGTGGCTTTTTGCACCCTAACTTTCCCTGGTCACACAGCCCCTGTCTGTGCCACTTTCATGTTCCCAGTCTCCCTTTGCACACAATGCCTGCAGGCTAGCACATTTACATGTGCTGTTTGAGACTGACAGACATTGAGATCAAATGCCTCAATCCTGTCCCATCTTGCTGAGCTGACCCATGCCTGCCCTCTGCTCACATTCACACTCATAGTGGAAATGGCAAGGCTCCTGGTCCCACACTTTGATGGGCAAGTGCTTGTTGACACAGGTGACATTGTCCACAGGCTCCGGCTCTAGGAGGATGATCTGGTTATTTCCCTGGCACCTGGCTACCGTGCAGTTCTCCAAGGTCCAGGACTCATTCACCTGAGGCAGAAGATATGCAGGTTGTTCACCTTGAGGTCATGTGGAAACTCAAACCCTGTCCTATCTGTAGCCACAGGTCCCTACAGCTATGAATCCCAGAAGGCAGCCAGCTTCTGCCGATGACCTCAGATCCTGTGCTCCTCTCTCAACAGGAGCCACTGGAAGATGGGTCACTAAGATAGGTTACAGGGTTGAGGTGGTGCTGAGAATTAACCATGACTCAACCCAACTGCAGTTGTCCCTGAGAACCCGTATCCACACTGCATCAGAGGGAGGGGGAGGGAGAAGGGAGGCTCACCTGCCGGGGAGGGATGGTATTATCACAGCCAGGAGGCAGGGAAGACAAAGGCGGAAGAGTAGAGGGCACTGGAGGTGAAGAGGAGGGGCAGGCACCCTGGAAGCGGTCAATATCACAGTACTGGCTACAGGTGGCATAGAATTGGCAGCCAGCTCCATCAGTCTTATTGTAGATGACATCTCCTGTGGAATGAAAAAATGCAGAAAGACATAGCCACACCCCATCTGAAGAGGCGGGGTAGTGTTAGGGGAAGACATAGGGTAGGAAGGGCAGCCTGCCTGAGGGGGAGGGAATGTCCAGAGAGGGCATGGGCTGAACTCTGCATTCATGAAAGTGCCCATAGCTCCCAAGGCTGACAGACCCAGGTGGACAAGGGACATGGGGTAGGGAGAACGCAAGGACTTTTCTACTCACCAGGTAGGAACAGCTGTCCAAATGCCTGGCAGAAACAGGATGATGGGGAAAGTGATTGGCTGGAAAAGACAGTAGGCCTGAGGGTACTGAGGCCCAAGGGAGAAACAGTAGGCATACTGAAGGTCACCTGGCTGCTATGGGAAACTTGAGAGGTGTGAGTGGTCTCTGAGGTAGAGGAGGGGACCACAGTGGGGCCTGTGGCTACCGGTGAAGTTCCTGTGGTCAAAACTGGAGAGGTGTGAGTGGGTCCTAGGGAAGATGAGTGGGACATAATGGAGCCAGTGACCTCAGGTGAAGAAGTCATGGTGTTCAAAGTTGGGGAAGTGTGACTGGACATCAGGGGAGAGGTAGAAGGAATGGTGGCAGAGGTGGCCATAGGTGATGTGGTGCAATGGCTGATGTTGTCACAGCAGAGGAGGCGCACGTGGTAGTTGTCGCAGTATTGCAGAGGCCCCGTTTGGTTGATATTCTTGCATATCAGCCCAAATCGCACATCACACTGGACCACCTGCTCAAGACTTTCCAGGGGCTTGTCTGGCTCCTTCTCAGAGCGACACTGGATGTCCCTGGGCTGATCACAGAAGACAAAGCCAACCTCACGTAACACTGCATAGACCTCAAAGTCCCCACCTCTGGGGCCAGGGTTAGGGAAGTCTGCATCAAACCAGTCTGTCCATGTGCATCGAGGCACACAGCCTGAGTCTGGAAATGTGGTCCATGTGGATGCCTGGGTGCTTGGCACCGGGGAGCTGGAGCGATGCTTGGTCTGAAAGGTGGATTCACTGCTTGAGGACACTGTGGTTGTGAAAGGGACTGTGGGAGTGTGAGTAGACCAGGGCAGGCCTGACGTCATGGTGCTGGGAGGCTGGCTAGGGCAGTGGCTGTAGTCGTCGCAGCAAAGGACACGGATGCGATAGTCGAGGCACGCACTAGAGGGCCCCATCTGGTCTAGGTTCCTGCACACCAGACCAAACTCCAGAGTGCAGTTGATCACTTGTCTCGATTCCTGCCAAGGCATATTGGGCTGGCGAACAATGTCACATTCTAAGTCCAGGGGCTTTTCACATATAGCAATTCCAGATGCTCTAATGTTGGTGAAGGTCTCAAACTCCCCTCCAGAATTCCCAGGTGTAGGGGAACTCTGGTCAATCCAGTCTGTCCAGGTACATCGAGGCGTGCAGCCCTTGGAACTAGCAAGCAAAGTAGTCCTAGTACTCAGCAAAGATGAGGGCTGAGTCTCTTTGGAAGTACTGGTGGACATGGAGGTAGCTGAAGTGCTGCTGAGGGTTGCAGAAGAAGCCCAAGAAGTGTTTATGGCAGTGTTAGAGACTCTGGCAGTGGTGGTAGTTCCTGGAGTTCCTGGTGTTGGGGGTGACCCTGCAGAGGTGGCAGGTCCCTGGCAGTGGCTGACATTGCAGCACAGCACACGGATCATGAAGTTGTAGCACATCCCAAATTGGCCTCTCTGGTCCCTGTTGTGGCACACCAGGCCAAAGTTGACATCACATTTCACTTTCTGATCCAGCGTGTCCAAACTCACGTACGGGTAGTTCTGGGCCACACACTGGATGTCCTGAGGCTGTCCACAGATGTCTTCCCCAGTGGCCCTGATCTTGTCATATGTCTCAATGTCTCCTCACTCGCTGTCAGATGTGGGGTAGTCCACATCAAACCACTTTGTCCACTGACATTGGGGTTGGCAGCTGGTGGAGGTCATAAGGCTGCTGCCTGAGTATGTGGAAGGTGTAGATCCTGTGTGGGCAATGCTGGTCATCAGACTTTGTGCAGTGTTGGAGGAGGTGGTAGCTTTAGTTGAGTGTCCTTGTCCTGTTGATGAACTGGTGGCCATGGTGGTGACTTCCTTGCTGACTTTAGTCTTGTTCGTGGTAGATGTATGTGGTATGGCAGTTGTGCTAGGGCAGTGGCTATAGTCATCACAGCAAAACACTCGTATATTATAGTTGAAACACATTTTGAAATCACCTGTCTGGTCCTCATTTTGACAGACCAGTCCTGTCTCCAGGTTGCAGCTTAGTCTTTGTCCAACCTGATCAATGCTCACTTCTGGGTAGTTCTCTGCCCGGCACTCAATCTTCTCTGGTGCCTGGCAAATTTTCTTACCAGCAGCTCTGATATTTTCATAGGTTTCCATGTCCCCTCTTACTACCCCTGAAGTTGGTGAGTCCACATCAAACCATTCTGTCCACTTACACTTGGGCTGGCAGTGGGTTGTTTCCTGGCTGGTGATGGCATTAGTCATAGTTACTGGTAGCATCCTTGGTGTTGGGGTAGAGAGCTCTTTTATGCCTGTAGTCAACTCCAGGCTCGTGGGTGGAAGTTTTGAGGAGATGGAGCCTGCTGTAACAGTAAGTATTTTTGTCCAGATTCCAGGTGAAGAAGTTTGTTTTGTTGTCAAGGCAGGTGTCGATGACTGCAATGTTTTATGCAGGATGTCAAGTGTGGTATAGATAGAGGAGACCTTTTCAGAGTTACTAGTTTCCTTGACACTAGAAACATGTGGGGGACTTCTGCCAGATGATGTAACAAGAGTGGCTGTGTGGCTAGAGCCTGGTAGAGTTTTTGAGAGGCTTGTTGCTAATGTGGTGAAAGCTGAGTGAGTCCTGGTCACATTCAGAGTAGTGTTGGGCCAAGGCTTGGAGGACAGGGTCTGGGTAGCTGTGGTGGAAGTTCCTGGTGTTGGGGGTGACCCTGCAGAGGTGGCAGGTCCCTGGCAGTGGCTGACATTGCAGCACAGCACACGGATCATGAAGTTGTAGCACATCCCAAATTGGCCTCTCTGGTCCCTGTTGTGGCAAACCAGGCCAAAGTTGACATCACATTTCACTTTCTGATTCAGCATGTCAAAACTCACGTCCTGGTAGTTCTGGGCCACACACTGGATGTCCTGAGGCTGTCCACAGATGTCTTCCCCAGTGGCCCTGATCTTGTCATATGTCTCAATGTCTCCTCCCTCGCTGTCAGATGTGGGGTAGTCCACATCAAACCACTTTGTCCACTGACATTGGGGTTGGCAGCTGGTGGAGGTCACAGGACTGCTGATAGTGCTAGAGGATGCTGGACTCACGGGATGCTGAGTGGTCTTTGAGGTGGCTGTCAGAGGGGTGCCGGGTGGGGATGACACACTTGTAGTCAGGATCCCAGGGGTGGGCATGTCTGAGGCATAGATGCTGGTGATGGAGCCTGAGGGAGACCAGGTCTCATCTGGAATAGTGTTGGGATAGTTCTTGGAGGACAGGGTCTGGGTAGCTGTGGTGGCAGTTCCTGGTGTTGGGGGTGACCCTGCAGAGGTGGCAGGTCCCTGGCAGTGGCTGACATTGCAGCACAGCACACGGATCATGAAGTTGTAGCACATCCCAAATTGGCCTCTCTGGTCCCTGTTGTGGCACACCAGGCCAAAGTTGACATCACATTTCACTTTCTGATCCAGCGTGTCCAAACTCACGTACGGGTAGTTCTGGGCCACACACTGGATGTCCTGAGGCTGTCCACAGATGTCCTCCCCAGTGGCCCTGATCTTGTCATATGTCTCAATGTCTCCTCCCTCGCTGTCAGATGTGGGGTAGTCCACATCAAACCACTTTGTCCACTGACATTGGGGTTGGCAGCTGGTGGAGGTCATAAGGCTGCTGCCTGAGTATGTGGAAGGTGTAGATCCTGTGTGGGCAATGCTGGTCATCAGACTTTGTGCAGTGTTGGAGGAGGTGGTAGCTTTAGTTGAGTGTCCTTGTCCTGTTGATGAACTGGTGGCCATGGTGGTGACTTCCTTGCTGACTTTAGTCTTGTTCGTGGTAGATGTATGTGGTATGGCAGTTGTGCTAGGGCAGTGGCTATAGTCATCACAGCAAAACACTCGTATATTATAGTTGAAACACATTTTGAAATCACCTGTCTGGTCCTCATTTTGACAGACCAGTCCTGTCTCCAGGTTGCAGCTTAGTCTTTGTCCAACCTGATCAATGCTCACTTCTGGGTAGTTCTCTGCCCGGCACTCAATCTTCTCTGGTGCAGGCTGCTGACTGACTGTGTGACCATGCTGGCTGTTGAAGTGACCATCTGTGTGCTGAGTGTTGCTGTGGTACTGGCTAAAGGAGCTCCAGTGATCTCTGGGGTAGTCCTGGCATGGGTAATTGTTGTGGTCATGGAGGCAGCTGTGGCTGAGCTCATGTTTGTGCTTCCAGGGGGAGAATAAGATGGTCCAGGTGTGGTCAGGGAGGTAGAGGAGTATGACTTGCTGACCAGATCCATACTCACTGCTGTGGCCGAGGATGTTGTGGTGACATGGGTGCTGGTTGGCAGCTTCGAGTGACTTTTGGATATGTCCCTGGTGGTCAATGTTTGAAAGTTGTTTGTTGTCATTGAGGTAGATCTGGGTTTACTGGGTGTGGTAGATGTGTTTGAGGTGCTAAAGGGCAGGCTGTTCCACAGAGAGGTTGTGGTTCTAGAGAACCTTGTGGATGTAGTCGGCGTGGCAGTGCTGGGAGCTTTGGAAGAGGCTGTCTGTGAAGTTGTGTTTGGTTTGCCTGAGTGTGGCTCTTTTGATGTTTGGAGAAAGCCGGTGGGAGAGACTGAAAGTGTAGACATACTAGAAATAGGGAAACTCTCCGTAGTCCTGGTTGTGGCAATGGAGACAATCTTCTGTGTCTTAGGGGAAGAGGGTCGCCTTAGAGTTGTGAATGAAGTTGAGGGTATTGGCTCCTCTGATGGCCACTTGTTTGTGGACATGGAAACTGTGCTGGAAAATCCAGGTGCTGATATGGGAGTGGAGGACAGTGGTCCTGCTGTGTTAGAGGATTCAGTCATTTGACCGGAGGTGGTAGACAGTGATCCAGTTGTGCTGACACAGCTTGTGTCTTCCTCACAGCAGAGTACACGGATATGGTAGTTGAAACAGGTTTGGTTGTTGGCCTGCTTACTGTTCCTGCAGATGAGTCCAAAGTCCACATTACAGACCACCTCCTGGCCCAGCTGCTGGAAGGACATGTTGGGGAAGAGGATAGCTTCACATTCAATGTCCACAGGTTTCTTGCATATCTGAATACCTGTCTTGTTTCTAATATGATAGTAGGTCTCAATGTCTCCCCCAAACTGGCCAGGTTGGGGTTTGTCACTGTCCAGCCAATCCGTCCAGCTGCATTGAAACTTACAGCCTGTGGAAGTAGTACTCATGGTTGTAGGGGTTGAGGAGACACTAGTTAGCCATGGTGAGGTCTGTGTCTCCCTGGGTGTGGGTATGGCTGTGGAAGAAGCCGTGGTGAGGACTGTGTTTTGGGGGGAGGATGAAATAGACTCAGTGGTGCTGATGATGGTAGGCTTCCTGGACACAGACCAGGAAGTGTGTGTGACTGACCTGGAACTGGCAGTGGTGGCAGTTCCTGGTGTTGGGGGTGACCCTGCAGAGGTGGCAGGTCCCTGGCAGTGGCTGACATTGCAGCACAGCACACGGATCATGAAGTTGTAGCACATCCCAAATTGGCCTCCCTGGTCCCTGTTGTGGCACACCAGGCCAAAGTTGACATCACATTTCACTTTCTGATCCAGCCTGTCCAAACTCACGTACGGGTAGTTCTGGGCCACACACTGGATGTCCTGAGGCTGTCCACAGATGTCCTCCCCAGTGGCCCTGATCTTGTCATATGTCTCAATGTCTCCTCCCTCGCTGTCAGATGTGGGGTAGTCCACATCAAACCACTTTGTCCACTGACATTGGGGTTGGCAGCTGGTGGAGGTCACAGGGCTGCTGACTTTCTCTGTGACTGTGCTGACTGTGGAAGTGGACCCAGTATCTGAAGTAAATACTGATTTTGGCTGAGAGCTAGGCATTGTGTGCGAGGTGGTCTTTTTTACTATGGTAGTCCAGGTAGGGCTTGATGCAGGGAGGCTGCTGACTGAGTTTGTGGACACAATGGGATGTGAAGTGGCACTGATTTTTGAAGTAAATGTCACTGTTTGCCTTGAGCTGTGAATAATATCCAGGGATGTCTCTTTCCCTTCTGTGGTCCAGGAGCGTCTGGACTGGGATACTGAGGATGCTGTTTGAGTACTGAGAGTGGGCAAAGTGTGCTCACTAGTGATCTCAGACAGGGAGTGAGTGGTACTTGTGCCTGAGGTCAGGGAAGAAGCACAAGGCACATAATCACAGCACAGAACCCTCAGCTCATAGTTGTAGCAGATTGGGGGGCTCTGCTCACTGTTGAGGCATTTCAACCCCCAGGATGGATCACAGTTCACCTTCTGTCCCAGCTCCTGTAAGTCCTTGCTGGGGAACTTCTCTGCACGGCACTCGATGGCAGCAGGGGTTTGGCACACCTGGTGCCCTTTCTGCCTCAGGTTCTCAAATGTTTCAAAGTCCCCACCTGTCATACCAGGCTCTGGGTAGCTCTCATCATACCAAATGGACCAGCGGCAGACCTCATGGACACACACAGTGGATACAGGGGGCACAGTGGGAGCTGAGCCTGTGTGAAAATGATAAAAGCCCTGCTCACCTCCTCCCATCTCAGTGTGAAGGAACAGATGACTCGTCACCTTAACACAAGTTAGGGCCATTCTGAACCTGTTCCAGGACCTCACTGAAGTGGGTACACCAAGGACAAATGGTGCCTGAAAATTTCTCTGGTCCCAATGGGAGCTCTACCAGTTGTGCTAAGGCTTCCTGGGGAATCGTAGATGGATGAGAGTCATGGACACCAGGCAGAGCCTGGGAAACTATACAGTGGGTCAGAACCAAAGATATCCCTATAGCTAGAGTTCCCTGCATTGACAATTTGTCATCTTCCCTTGTCCCAGATGTGGCCAAGCTTCTCCCTGGATTAACATCGTAGTTAGGAGTTCCAGGGCTTCTAAAGAACCTGATGTAGTCTTACCTGATGTGGCACCAGACGCCAAGGTAGTGGTGAATGTGAACGGTGTGGTAGACAAGACTTCAGGGCACTCTTCAGCTGTGCGTAGTATAGTCCCATTGTCTTTGCAGATGGCCACTAAGCATGCCCCAAGTCCATCCGTGGTGTTGTAGACAACATCATTGTAGTGGTAGGTATGGCCCTCATAGGTACATGTGCAGGCTGGGGATTATATGTATTGGCTCAGCTTCCTCAGCCTCCAGCCTTCCTCCAACCCCCAACCCACAGCCTTTGCTTACCTGTAAGGTTGTGAACACACTGGAGGCCACCAGGGGTGCAGAGACTGGAGGGAAAACAGGGGCTCTGAGGACCTATGAGCATCCCCTAGCTGACACATGCCTTAGCCCACCCCTGCCCTCTCCCAACCACTCTGGGTCTCTGTCCTCTTCCCTCCCCAGATCCTCTCTCACCAACTCTGGCAATTCTCAGCTGTAGGAACCTGCGTGCCAATGTCATGGTATTTTCCATCATCATCATAGCATCCACACTGGGCCACACACTTCATCTGGTCCTCATTGAAGAAGGGCTGGCTGGGCGGGCACTGTGGATAGCAGCCTAGAACATGCAAGGGTAACATTGACTTTCTATCTCCTTGAGCGTGTATCCAGCTGCCTAGCTCCTAATCAGTGGCAGAGAACACCTAGTACACTGGAGATACCATGCATGGGGTATGGGCCTGAAGGCCTCCATCAGCACATTCCACTCTTACCTTCCAGGCCTGGCAGGTCAACAAGGCAGTGTCCAGCAGGGTTTCGACAGGTCTTCAGGCAGGGTGCTCCACAGGGCTGGTAATGCCACTCACACTCCCCATGAGGGTTGTAGTAGTCACAGAAAAGAGCTAAGCACAGAGGGAAGAGTCTGTTAGGCCTCATGCTGAACTACACTCAGACATACAGGCCTTGGGCTAGGCAGATGGCCTCCTTGGGTTTATTTCCTAACTGAGGTCCTGGAGTCCCCAGCCTCAACTACCTCATATCAGGTGTCAAAGAACCACATGTATATATAGATGTGTACACATATGTATAAACATACATACACGCACACGCACACGCACATGCACATGCACACCAGAGTGGCCAGAATCCAAGACAGGAGAGAAGGTATAGAGGCTACCACCCACCTCATTCACAGGCCCACCCTTCAGTACTATGGGCAGACCCCTACTCACGGCAGATGTCTGGTGTTCTCCAGGACAAGCACACGCCCACATCACGGCAGGCCTGGGCATAGGCTGCCACAGCGGTGCAGAAACACTCGCAGTCACCCCCTGAGTCGCAGGCACATACATCATGTACACAGGCTTCGTAGTATTTGGTAGAGTCAACCTGGAATGGAGGGGACAGGGTGCCACTCAGGGAGGATAACGATGTCTGCCCAGAGAACAGGTGAATGTGGGGGAGGATATGGAGCTAGCTGTAGTCCAAACCCCACACTCTGGGAATCTCGATCTAGTACTATGGCTGCTATCAGAGTGTCCCAAGAGGGAACTGTCAAACGCCACTTTTCCCAGTCACTAATACACTCAGCACATTTGTACACCCGCATATCACAACCTGCCACTTGTGCACCTGTATACCTGTCCATATGTATACCTATATATCTATCTGGCCACCTGTGCCCTGCCTGTATGTCACTGGAAAGCAGTGTACCTGCCCACCTATGTGCATGCCTGAATGTACACCAGTGTGCCTGCCTACCTGTGAACCTTCACACCTGTCTGTATGTGTCCCTGCCTACACCTTGCACTTTCCCTCCTGTCCCTATGTGCACCCATCCATCTGTCTTCTTGCACAGCTGCTCACCTGCACAAGACTGCGCACCTGCCTGCCTACACCGGCACAAATATCTGCTTGCCTGCCTGCCTGTCTGCATACTCACCTACACATCTGTATGCCTACACATTCATGCCTGCTCACCTTCACACATGCTCACCTGCCCACCTCTACACCTTCACTAATACTAATACTCTTTGGGATCCTTTTACTTGGATCTGGTCTTATGATCTACGTGTTTCATGCCTGCAGGGTGTTGCACTGTGGTCCCTCTTCTGTCACTGTACTCTTGCTTCAGTGTACTGGCCCCATCTGTGTGTGCCTTCCCAAAGCTGACTTGTCCCCTGGATTGCTGTTCACATGACTTCTGGTGGCCCTCTACTTGACTTTTTGATGTGAGCCCCTCTCTGACCACCCTGATACCTCACTCCAGTGGAGGATCACTAGGGGACAGTAAATTTTGTTCCCCATCCACTTGAATTTGCTGGTACCCAGAACCCACCTGAACTTCCATACCCCTGAGAGCATGCCCCAAGAAAATAGTGAGTGGTGACTATTTTCATCCAGCATTGTTTAACTTCCAGACTGGCACCGCTGTGGGACATGTGGTTAACCAGCCCAACATGGGAGAGTTGTCTAATTCAGTGGAGGAGAGCCCCCACCCCCACTCACACTGTGCCAACTGTCAAACCCCAGAATGGACTCAAGTTCTTGCTTTTGCCACTAACAGCACATCCAAATCAGCCTTGTCAGGCCACAGTGAACCAAGCCATGGAGCAGGGTAGCCACAGAGACTGCTGGTCACCTGCTCATGAGGTTGGGTGTGGTGACCCGGGGTGCTCAGCACAAGTGAGTAGCATTGGCTACCCATGACCCTACATGAGCCCTTTCTGGTCATGGCCAGAAAGCCTGGTTATGAAGCTGCTTTCCTAGCTGTACACTTGAGTCTTGGATTTAGTAACAGGAGGTATCCTTTGGAAATCTAATGACAGCCAGTTACCACTTCTTCTGGGGGAGTTCTGATGGTGTTCCTGATACATACTGAACAGGTCTGGGGGTCACCCAGGAAGATAAAGAAGGTCCCTGACTGAGAACCATGGATAGAGACTATAGTCAAGGACTGGTCCCAAAATAGTGGTGATAACTACATGACGGGGATATATGCATGATTTCCTACCCATCTTGTGGGAGATTCAGACCTAGAACTTGAAAACCCAGGGCCATGGACTGTGTGCTCTGACTGGGTCAAGATGGTCTTCAGAGGCCTGCTGTGTGTCTAGTCCAGCAAGATTCAGTTCCTACCAGGAAGAAGCAGGCAACTGCAAGCCCTGTGAACCAAGGCCAGGCCCTACCTGGGAGTGGCAGGCAGCAAAAGTCGCACTGTTGATGACACTGCACTTCTTCTGAGCCCAGGACTTGCGGTAAGGGTTGGCAGTGCAGGGATCCTTGGGAACTGGGGCATCTGGGCAGGATGGGGAGAACTTCCAGCTATTTCCAAACTCCAGCACATCACCCACCACAGACTGGCTGCGCGTGGTGAAGTCATTGATGGCATTGTCATCGAAGTTCCCACACAAGCCACAGACCCTTCCCTGCAGACACATGAAGAGAGAGAATCCTGAGCAGGTTAGGTAAGGTGACAGAGTCTAGCTTGTGAGTACCCAGTGAACTTGCAAATGGATGTGGGAAATGGGTCCTGGGGCAGGTGGGTGAATTGAATGTATTCTTTTTAGAAGATTCTGTCTCTGCACAGGCCTGTGGGCCAGGCTGGTTCATCAGTCATGAGTCTAGTACATCCATTATTCATTGCAATTTCAACTCACCACTCTTGGAACCTGGTGTTATGTGTGGTCTCAGTGACTAGGGCTTTTCAATATGAACCATTCTTCAGCAGCCTTGTCAGTTGCTGGCCCTATACCTATCCTAGCAGGGTCTAGAAGCAGGGTTCTTGGCGGCCACACTTGCCTTGTAATGCTGCTGCAGTCGGACAAACACACTGGTCTTCCTGTCCCAGGACACGACTATCCCACTGCGGATCTCAATGACCAGGAAGATGCCCATGTATCTGATCTTATATGGAACATCCCCACTTGACCTTCTCTCTACCACCTTGAAGTTCCCCTCATGAAGAATCAGCTCGTAGCTCTGCAGATGGAGAAATACAGTGCAACAATTTTGGGGAGTGATCAATGGGGGAGAGCCAGTCCATTGTGGGTGGTGCCATCCCTGGGCTGGTGGTCCTGGGTTCTATAAAAAAAGCAGGCTGAGAAAGCCAGTTAGCAGCACTCCTCCATGGCTTCTGCATCAGCTCCTGCCTCCAGGTTCCTGCCCTGCCTGAGTCCCTGTCTGGACTTCCTCCAATGATGGACTATGATCTGGAAGTATAAACCGAATGAACCCTTTCCTTCCCAACTTGCTTTTTGGTCATGGTGTTTTATTGCAGCAATAGAACCCCCCCCCCCAACTAAGACACATCCCAAACCAGCAGCTCTGCTTTCTGTTCTGTGAATTCTGACTCCCCTTTGCCAGAAATGGGGCACTTAGTGTACTATTCCTCCCAAATATACCCACAATTCCCAGGACATTAAAATAACACTTTCCTAGAAAAAGAGCCTTTAAAGGATCTTGAGATGGGTTTTCTGAAATTACCTGGGTGTCCCCTGAGCCATTCAGTGATTGTCCATACAATGACCAGAGACATACAGACACAGAGCAGAAGGTCATGAGTAGACAGAGGCAGACTGGAGTGATGGTGCCACAAACCAAGGACTGCTGGAACCCCTAGCCCAGAAAGGCAGGAAGGATCCTCCTGACCTGCAGGATGCATGATCCTGCTTGCCTTGATCCAACTCTGGCTCAAGGATGGAAGACAATAGTCTGCTATTGTAAGTCCTAGGTTTGGATCACTTGCTATTTCGTCCTTAAGAATAACTTACAGCTGGAGAACCAGGGGGTAGAGCCGCAGAGGGAGGGAAGCAGTCCCCAATGGCTACAAATATACTCTCACCTCCACAAAGATCTTGATGGCCTTGGAGCAGGTAGTTCCTGTGGTCCCACAAGGGACATTCTCAGTGACAATACGGAAGGTCCCATCAGTACTGGTGTTGCCTCTACAGTAGTCCTGAGAAGGGAAGAGATGAGACTCTGGTCACAATTCAGAATGAGTGGTGGGAAAGACAGAGAATTGTGACTCATTGAGAGGGGCCAGGGACCACACACCTGAGCCAAGGTATACTCGCAGCTGCCTTCAAAGATGTAGCGTTCACCATCAAAGGTGACAAAATGGCCATCCCCATAGGCTACACATGCACCCATACAGGGACGGTCAGTGCACTCCCACCGGCGATTCCTGCAGGTGCTGTGAAAGGAAAGGTCATTGCAGACAAGGGTATTGTCCTCTGAGATGGCTGGCCCATTTCTGTACAAACATGCCACTTGGGGAATTAAGCTCAGAGTACATCGAGCTTTGGTCTTGTGTGGGTGGGTATCCAATCACCCCCAGCTGGAGGAACAGCCCTTGGCCCCCAGGATACATGCTGAGGGCCCTGAAATGTAAAGGCCAACTCAGACCATTGTCACTCTAGAGACCTACTGACCCCCTCTGAGGGTTCCCCAAACCTACCAGTTATTGCAGTCTACCCGGATGATCTCCCCAGGTGTATAGGTGGCCTCATTGTGTACGCAGGGGCAGTTCTCCTCAGCAATGCAGCCCCCATTCCCATCTGCTACCAGCCCTGAGGGACACACACAGCCCGAGACACAGTGTGTGCTGAACTGTGGGCACAGGTAGCCTGGTCAGGGACTGAAACAACACCCTGTTCCCTCATCCCTATTCAGATGCCCAGGACAACAACTAAGGAGACCCTGTCCTGGGAGTACCTAGGAGGAGGTCATCCAGGGTCAGCAAGACCCAAAGCCACAGCCTTCCAGTGACATCCCCCCGCCGACCCCACTCTTCCTGTAGCTTAGGATGGTGGATGAAGGTTGGTGTTGCAACCGAGAAGACTCACACAGTCCACATCCAGAGTGTGGCAGCTTCTCAGGCATTCAGCACCCTTGTCACCCACTGAGGCGTTGTTACAGTCCAGATATACCATAGGCGCCTGGCACTCTGGGGAGGACAAACATGTGAGAGAGGCCTGGAGCAGGACATTCCTGGTCCCTATGGTCTCCTGACCCTGTCTTGCTGCTACAACTGTAGCAAGCTCGGGTCTTGCATGTCTTTGTGCTCTGTTTCAAGCATCCAGGCTGTGTGGACCTATCCCAGAGAGTATATAGCCCACAATCCCAAGAGCTCTGTGGCCACCTTGCCAGAAAGCCCATGCTCCCCCCCCCCCCCCCCCCCCGCGTCCGCCCCCCACCATAGCAAAGTACAGGCTGGTCAGGGGGGAAGAGAACCTGTGCTCCTCTGCATCAGGGCTCCAAGACAGGTCAACTTCCCATTCTCACATGAGCTGTAAGAAACAGTAATACCCCTGCTCTAGGCCCAGTGTTTCCTACATCCTACCCCCAGTACTTTCCATACCCCACCAGGGTCTGGGCCTCCTTGCCTCCTCCCAAAGCCAAGAGGGTGCCTGCTGTTGGGGGTCCTTGGGAAGACCCTGGACTCTGCAGTCCCATACACTAAAGGTTTAGTCACCAGCCTATGGTAATACTAGAAGGTGGTGGTGCCCTTAAGAAGGGAAGCCAAAGCCCATGGATTCTGGACCAAGAGCTAGGGAGCCTGCATGCTATTGACCTAGGCCCTCGTCATGTGGGTGACTGTTGTGTAGCTTGGTCTGTTTGTGGGGCCCCTAGCAGTGGGATCAGGACCTGTCACTGTCACATGAACTGGCTTTTTGGAACCTATTCCCCATGCTGGGATGCCTGACCCAACCTTGATTCAGGGGGAAGAGCATGGCCCTACCTCAACATGATAGCCCACTCCCCCCACCTCCCATATAACTCCATCCACTCTTCCTCCCATGGGAGTCAGCAAAGCATGGGAGGAAAAACTGTGGTTGGCATGTAAAACAAATGACAATTTTAATAACAATGATTTAATAGAAAAAAAAGAAGTAAGCCCAAGTGGGAAGAAGTTAAGTCATTGAAGGAAACAGTGGGACCTTAACGCTATCCTGCTCACTTTCTCTTCCTTGCTGTGAGGAGAGTTTTGTTCTACACAATCTTCCATTATGAAGTGCTACCTTATAACAAGCCCAAAGCTATGGGGCCACTCAGTCATATCAGTCATATCCTATCATGGGCTGAACCTCCAAAACTGTGAACCAAGACAGACCTCTCTTTATGTCTTCTCTGGCTGTTGTTGTAGTACTATAGGAAGCTCACTCACACGGTGAGTGAGCGAGGCTGTAAGGAACTGCCTTTGAGGCCAAGCAGGGAGTAGGACCTCAGCTGAGAAGTGCTTGTCAGGGCTTCTGCCCTGATACCGTAGGACTCTCGGAACAACCTCTCTGCCCTTTCTCTGGGGATCTGAAAGGTGCCCCCAACATCCAGCATGCCCCAAGTATGTCTTGAAACCATCAGTGAGGAAGCCACATAAACTTCTGGGTATAGAAGGACCAGCAGCTAGCCACCCCACTGACACAGATTGTGAGGATGGGTGAGAGCGATCTTCCTTACCACACCACACCATTGTCTGTAACAAACTCTCCGGGAGCCACTACAGTCCCATGGAAGAAGCAAGGGCACTCCTCATCACGCACACAGTGGCCCTTGTTATTCAGGAAGGTGCCTTCAGGGCAGGTGCAACCATCCACAGGCACAAAGGAGACGCCACAGGTGACATCAGCCTCACTCAGAGAGCGGCAGGTTGGCTCACAAGTACTCACTGCATAGGAGTAGCTCTTGTTCTGGGGACAGTTGTTCATGTACTTGACTACAGGAAGAAGAATGGGACAGAGAGATCAATGGCTGGGTGAACTGGCCCGGCCCTCATTCTTCCCTGCCGTAGACCAGTGATACTATTGTTGACACAGCATGCAAGGTTCTTGTAGACATGGGACAGGAGACTGATAGCTGCCGCTGTCAAGGGTCCCAAGTGCCCCCTATGCCAGAGTGACAGGATCCAGATGGCTACTGTGGGGAGGCACAACCTGTCACAAGGAACCTTGCTGGGCCACAGCATACTCACAGCAGACACTGTCTCTCCAGCCACTAAGCAGCACGCCTTTGGCAGCACAAGCATGTACGTAGGAGGACAAGGCCGCACACATGCAGTCCTCACTATTTTCACAGTTGCATGTGTCAAATATGCAGTTCTGGGGGACAAGATTTCAGGAAGTCAGGCACCTCGGTCTCCTAGTGTCCTTTATTGCTTATTTAACTTTCCCGGCAACATCAGCCAAACCCCGGCCAAGGCCTGGACCTGTGGCTTCCCAGGAAGAGCCACCCTGTGAGAGACTTTGACACTCAGTGTTTTGGAAGGGTGGCCTGGGATTCATGTTAAGGACAGTGTCAAAGGTCACAGGGCAAAGTGGCAGCCAGAATGGAGACCAGACCTGGGGTCTGGGTATAGAAGCTGGAAGCCCTGGGGCCCAAGGTTGGGGCCCTGGGGAAGAGTCTCCACAAGACAAGAGCAGGTCCAACTTGTATCTGAGGTGTCATCCTAACTAGGCTGCACATAGAAGACCTGGAATACTGAGACAAAAGCCAGCTAGGCTCAGGAGGTTGTATCCAGCAAGGTGTCCTGGAAGTGGGATCCTGGAGAGGCACCCTTGGGGATGGAGTGATGTGCTAAAGTTTAGGGCTTTGGAGTGCTATTTAGGGTTAAGTTGTGTCCCCCCAAAAGGTGCTCTGGGGTGCTCTGTCATGTGTGAATGGGGCCAACATAGAAAGAAGCCTTTAAGGGTGAGGTAGCTTTGCTCCAGCACCCACTGCCCTTGCAAGAGGGAGGTTGGACATGCACTAAGACCATTGAGAACCCTTCTGAGCCCCCAGAACCTTCTTTATCAGCTTCTCGGTTGGTGAACCCTTTAACTGAGAAGTAAACACCAGAGTGGGTAATGGTGAGAGGGCCTTGAGAGTCCAACCACCAAGGACTCCTAAACATGCCCCCACCCAGGCCCAGCAGATCATGTTCTCACCGAGTAGAAGGGTGCTGGGCTGACAGTGGCATGGCAGGCCGAGAAGACTCCCGAGCTTTCAGTAAGCTTGGAGCACCACTCCTGGGCATAGTTCTCTAGGGAAGGGAGAAACATGGGCTGCCCCTCATCTGCTTCCCAGAGCCCGTCCCTGTCCTCAACCCTAACCCCTCATGCCTTCCTGCCTACGTGGGGGTTCTCTGAGCCCTTCCCCCAGGGGTTCATGTGGCCTGGAGGTTAGGAAGGGCTGTCAGAGTGGCCAAAGACTGGAGAGGATGGTTACCAGTCTCCACGCTGTAAGAGCAGGGGTCCTCAAAAGTGTTCTTGTCGTTGGGGCAGGAAGCTTGAGTCTTCCAGGTGTTGGAGAAGGCGGCTCCTGTGCCCTCCACCACCCCACTGAGGGCTGTGAAGTCATCAGCCTGATTCTGGTTGAAGTTCCCACACAGACCTAGTGACCGGAGTTAGGAGGTCAGCAGGTTGTTCAACCTGGCCAATCTTCCCCAGGGCCATTGTCCCTCTAATCATTATCAAAACAGGAAAGTCCCTTCCTCGTGTCTGACTCCACAACTACCCACAGAAAAGTCCGAAACAGGGATAGCCCCATCAGGGCAGCGCAGCTGGATCTGTCTTCCCAGGCCACTCCACAGGTTGCTGGTTAGAAGTCAGGTGTGCTGGGTGCTGCTGGGGTCTCCACTGAGCCCTGGAGCCAATGTTTCCCAACCCCCTTCCACAAGGGATCTCACTTCACAGCCTAGAGCTAGGACAAGCGCAAATCCCAATAGCCACCCCCCACAGTCCCACCCCCAAGCCCACTGGTGCCTCACCACACATCTGGCCGCGATAGGAGGGGTCCAGCCTGACAAACACCTGCATGATGGGCACCAGCTGCACTTGCAGCTGCAGCCCCAGGCCTGTCTGCACCACGATGAAGAAGGATGACGGACTGAAGATGGTAGTGTTGGCTGTAAGGTGAGAAGTGTTAGGTACGCTGGGAGCTGGCCCACCAAGTGTGACAGTGCTGGCTGGGACAGGGGGTAGGGCACCTAAAAAAGTCCCAAACTTTCTTGGGTTGTAAATGACTGTCAACTGTCCCAGATAGAGCATGGATGGCACTACCAGACATAGCATTTCCACAGAACCAGGGGTACCTCATGGGAAACACTGGAGCTGCCTGGGGCCAGGAGCTAGCCTGAAAGATGACTGTTCACTGAAGGTGCCAGCCCTGGCTTGCTGTCCCAGAGAGCCACACACCTGCTGACAGGGGTAACTGGGTAAAGATGGAGTTCAGGAACACAGCACCGTTAGCCTGGATCCGGATGACCTGGTATATAGTGACACAGTCAGTACCCAGGGGACTCATCCAGCCACTTATAGGGATAGAATACCCTCCCCAGCCCAGTGACAAGAGCCAGGAAGGAAGCTCAGGCCTGCCCTAGCGGTGAGTTCTCACCAGCTGAGTAGTGGCTGCTCCTACCCGGGGGTTTAGAGAGGGAGTAGAGGCCTCTCTTTACTCTGACTTGTCATTATTCCATGTGCCTCCCTACCACTGTCACTTGCATCCCAGAATGAGATGGTAGTCAGAGCCCCAGTGCTCACCATGTCTCCGCTATTGAGGCTGAGTGTAACGGCTTTGAGGCAGTTCTCAGTATCTGTCACTCCACACTTCCGCAGATCCACCAGCACAGTGAAGCCGCTGTCTGCACATTTCTGTCAAGAAACCCAAGATGTGTTGGATGTGGAGTTCCCTTACGCACAACTTCTCAAGACCAGGAGGGGTTCTGGAGGGTGCCCTCAGGTACCCTGGTTTACCACAGGTAGCTTGTCCTGGGACCTGGGACTTCCCTGTCTGCATAGGGATTCACCATGACCTTCACCCCTGCTGTGAACCCTCACGGGACCCTAGCTGATATCTGTGAACCAGGATTGTGGCCGCACCTTGGAAAGGATGTAGCCGCAGTCCCCATGCACATTGTAGAGTTTCTCATCATAGGTGAAGATGTGAGACCCGCCTTGCACAGAGCATGTCCCGGGGCACGGCAGGTCCTGGCACTGCCACAGTCCCCCGAAGCAGGTGCTGTGGGGGAGTCCATGAGCAGAAGGGATACAGTGGGAAGAGGTAAGCCTCACCCCACATACCTCCACAAAGGCTGGTTAGCTTACCAGGAGCTGCAGCTGGTGTTGAAGGACTCTCCAGGGGCATAGGTGTGGCCTCCATGGGTACAGTGGCACTGCTCCAGGGGCAGGCAGCCCAAGTGTTTGATGTCATCCAGCACAGTGCCTGAAGGAAGGAACGGTGAATACAGATGCCCCCCCCCGCCCCCTGCACAGGCAGAATGGGGCAGCTTGCCTCCAAGACAACCCAGTCCTAGGCAAGAGGAAGGGGCCCCTAGTCTGGAATGCTGCCTCAGCCTGAACTGTTGGGATAAGCTCCTCTGGGCCTCAGTTTCCCCACCTGACCTCAGGGACTCAAGACACGTGTTCTCTGCACACAGATCATCAGATCTCTGCCCTGTTAATAATGTTTCCACCCTACCCTTAGCCATGGGATGCAAACCCTAGCCAGGTTCATTGCCCTTGGAAGTGGAGAGGGTCAGCTGAAGTAGAGACCATGACCCAAAGGAAGCCATGGAGGTAGGGGCGAAGGACACAGGTCCTGCCTGGGGGACAGAAGCAGCCATCCACGCAGTGGTCCTCGCAGAGCTGAGAGCGCTGGGGGTTGGAGCAGGTGTCCACACAGGGCGAGCTGCACTCGTGGTGCTCCATGTTGAAAGGGCATTCCCAGTCTGTAACAGAGATAGCACTTGACCTAGGAGAAGTGATTCCTGATCGCTTCAGTCGGTGGGAGCCATGCCTACTCCCTGCTCCCATGTCCACTGAGGTCCCAGAAAGCCATCTGCCAGGTAAAGCAGTAGGCTAGAAACCAGGGGCCCAGCACTTCTCACACATCCTTCTTTACCTATGGCCACCTGAGGCCACCGCTCTGCAGGAGTCCCTGCCTCAAGGTTCTGGAGCCATAGCTTCTTGCTGTGCCCAGGGACACAGTTGGGTCCCTACTCTGGGACCTACAGGTCCACCAGAACCCTCAGGCACAGCGTCTTCCCCTCAACTTTCCCGTTACCTCTTCTTACCCTGATATTCACCCTCTCTCCATGGCCTTTAAGTGGCTCCCTCTACCTTGACTTCCAGCCAGGCTCTAAGCTCAAGACTGGCCCTTAGAAAGACCCTGGACTGTATTGTAGTGAGGGTGCTCACTGCAGAGATCAGGAGTCCTCCAGTTCTGCGGATGGCCCCCTGCATGGGCACACTGGCGGGAATATTCAGCAAAAGTGGTGCATGGGCATGTGGGGCAGAGGCACAGGTCCTGGACACAGGCATCCAAGTACATGTTGACATCTACCAGGGCGGTGCACTCGGCAAAGGCAGGGCCAAGCAGGATGTGGCGGCAGATGTTCTCCTGGGGATCACAGAGAGCTAAGCACCTTCTGACCCTCAAGCAGGATTGCCATTACACTTGTAATGGGGACCCTGACCCTCCTAGGCCATGCAGGAAGCCCCTTCTTCCCCCGGAGGTTCCTTCCAGCCACACATCAATTCATCCATCTGTCCATCCATCATCTACCCATCATCCAACCACCTACCATCTGCCATCCATCATTCATTAATTCATCACTCTTCTACCCATCCATCCATCAGTCACCTACTCTATCCATCTATCCACTTATCCATCATTTATCTACCCATCTGCCAATCATCCATCCACCCATCTTCCTTATACATTATTCTACACAAGTGTTGTGCTATGTCTAGGTGGAGAGCTCTACTTGGCTCTGAGGGAGGCACCCAGGACTCTCTGTTTCTCCCACCTCCCACTTCAACGCTCCAAGGCATGCTGACTTGTGACTTGTGAACCCAGGAGAATGCAGAATGCACCCCTGTGTGGTGGCTCAGAAGAGAGGGACTAAAGATAACACCCACCTACTTAGTTGGTCCCCATGAACTCATTGCTGCTACTCAACATCTTCCTACCCCAGCACCCCCAGATAGGCCAGGATTTGACAACATTCTCATTCACTCCACAATTTAGGTAGTACTCAGACATTCTGCTAGCTTTAGGGATCATGGGGTCAGATCCAAAGGATGAGTCCTCCCTGCTTACAGAGTCCTCCTTGAGTGTCCACCTCAGCCCTCTGTGTGGTGGGCACACATTTCCTACACACATATAACCTACACACAGAGAACATTTGTGCCCTGGTGAATGGGTTGTGACTTCCATCAAAATATGATCCATTTGGTCCCACTGGGGAGAGTCAACCTGGCCTGCCTCCCCCAGGCCCAAGCAGCAGCTTCCTCAGGGCTCAGAGGCCACTCCCTGACTGTTTAGGAGCTGGAAAGCCCTTGCTGTCTGGTCACCCAAAGATGTTCCTCAGCCTTTGACCAGGCAGTTCTCTGGTCTTATATCAGTTGATGCAGGCCTCTCACTGTCCCCAGCCTTGGGAACTGTGGCATGATCAAGGTGCTCACCGTATCTGTGCAGTTGTTGACAGCTGAGGGCAGGGTGTCCTGGCATTGCTCTGTAGGGCCATCCAGCTTCTGCAGGTTTCCAAACTGCACAGGGGTCAGCCTGGTGTCTGCAGGAAAGACAGCTCACAGTCAAGAGATAGACTTCCTGAGGTGGCTATCAGGGGACTCTATCTGGAACGAACACACACACACACACACACACACACACACACACACACACCCACACACACACACACACACACCCACACACACACACACACACACCCACACACACACACACACACACCCACACACACACACACACACACCCACACACACACACACACACACCCACACACACACACACACACACACACACACACACACACACACTTCCCTCCTCGGTGTCTCGGCAACACCCCCTCCCATGTCCTTTCTGGATGTCCTTGATTCTCTAGACTTTGGGACCACCTAGCCTGAAGACTCAGTGGCACTCACTGTGGGCGTAGAACTCGTTGACAGCTGGGAGCCCGTTGAAGTCGCCGCACAGCCCACACGTCTGGTTGGTATATTTGGAGTCCAGCTCCAGCTGAGGGTGACACAGAGCAACTCCAGCCTCAGGGCTTCTGCTTTGGCTCCAGGGCCTACCTGGCATCTTCCCACCCCACTTGCCCAGGGGGCCAGAGAAGATATTCCCCCAATAGTCTGTAGGGTCCCTATAATAGGGCCAGGGACTACGGGGCCTGTGAGAGAGCTGCAAGGGGCTGTGGTGAACTGTGAGGATATGGGGAAGGCTGTATGGGCTGTGTGAGACTGTGGGGAGCCATGAGTGACTCTCAGAGTTTAGGAAATCTGTGGGGAGCTTGTGGGGTCTATGGAAATTGTGGGGCCTATAGAGGGGGGTGGGGGACTGTGGGAGACTATGGGGGTGTCTGGGAACCTATGGACCTGAGAGGGATTATTTAAGGCTGCAAGGGCCTGTGTAAAGCCTTTGTAGGTTTATGGGAGGCTGTAGGGAACTGTGGGTGAATGTCCTCACCAGGGCACTGTCTTCATTCCACAGAAAGGTGAGGACCAGCCGAATGCCGACCTTCACATAACCACTGCTCTTCTCCATCAGAAGACCTGCACGGCTGTAGGGCAGCTCCACCCTGGACAGAAAGTTCAGCAGGGATGAGCAGAGGCTGTCCTCTCCACTTACTCTGCTTCTGACCCTCCCCAGAATACATGTGGGGACAGAGTATGGTCTAAAGGCCTGACCTGAATATACTTCCCCTCAAGGTCCAACTCACCGCTGTCCGTCGACCAGTACAGAGCCATTGGACAGCTCAATTACCAGCCCCTGGGCCCTGAGGACCACATGAGTGACCATGGGCCTGGAACCCTCAAGACCACGACGCAGTTGGATGTTGAAGTCCTCGTAGGTGGCCCCACAGTGTGAAGAGAAGACATAGTTACAGAGGCCAGGGAAACGGAACATGTAACCATCGAAGGTCTTATAGTGGAAGTCACCCCATGTGCTGCACACTCTTCCGTTGTGTGCCAGGTTTACGGCTACAGGGAAACCAGATGGAGTCACCAGATGCCAACACTCCATGCCCAGATACCCAAGGGACAACCTCCTGGGGCCAAGGCAATATCTTTGGAGCAGAGAAGCCAACTACCCATAGCTATGCAAGCCAGCTCTCTGCTGTCTCACTCCCTCAACTGCTTGAATAAAACCTAAACACCCAGACCCATCATCCCTCATCCCTTTCCTTTGCTGTAGTCTAGAAACCCCAAGGGGGTCCAGAAACCCCAAGGGCAAGTTCCAGATTCTGTTCAGAGATTTTCAGGGGCCCCACTCTATGCCAGCTTCAATCAGACTGGCATGTCCCACCCACCCCTCCTCCATTCCTTGGCCTGGCTGGCAGTAGATATGGTCCACTTACGGCTCACGCTAGGAAAGACAGTGATAGGTGGGATAAAGGTGACATGCTGGGTGGACGAGGATGTGGGAACTGCAGGAGAAAGGCCAGGTCACACTGGGGATAGCCTCCCTGACCACCCACCCTCTTCAATGCCCACCTCAAGGAAATCAGGAAGCCCATGACTGACAGGATGGTTCCAGGCTATCCAGTTTCTTCACAGTCACCCCTGAACTCACCCCTGGAAACCATCTCCTGTCTACCCAGGGATGCTCCTGTCTGTGTGTGCCCAGCACTGCCTTCAGGCAGAATGGACTAGACCATCTGCCTGTGCCACCTGAGCCCCATCCCACTCACTGCTACCTCTGCCACCAGAATATGACTCCCCAACCCAGAGCCTGTGCCACGTACCGCTATACACTTTCTGACCATCTGCAGTGAGTTCTGTGTGTTCCAAGCTCGGCTCTACCTGGCTCTGGCTCTCTGCAGTAAAGAGAAACATGAGTCAAGAAGAAACCATCAGGCCACGGCCACTGCCCTGGCTCTGGTCCCAGGTCAAGGCCTTCCTGTAATCTATAGAAACCTGAACAGACTTGGGGCTGGTGATGCCAACCCTATCAGCTGTAGTATATTTCAGTCACTAAACATCACCGAAGAGCCAGGTGTCCTCAGGAGTTCTGGCCATTCCAGACCAGTCCCTCCCCTGCAATGGCCCTTGCCACCTGCACCTATGGAGTGACACCTAGTCTTGCTGGTAGTAAGGCAGATGTTGCCAGTAGCTCAAGGAAGCAAATCAGGAAATGATAAGTATCAGAGCTGTGATCATCTGTTGAGAGGTGGCTGTCAGCCACATCACTTGAGTCCCTTGGAAGATAAAGGCTGGCTTTGTTAGGGAGAACACATTTAGAGGTTTCTAAGAGGGGCATAGGGAAAGAAACCTATGATCAGAGGCAGCCCCAGCCTGTCATCTGTAGCATGAGAGGTTCAGTTCTTGGTGTAGAATGTCCATTCTCAGTGTCCTGGATTGTCCACTGCCTCTGGGCAAGGCCACCTCCACAGCCTAACAGCTAGAGGCCCAGGAACCCGCTTCAGCCTCCACATCTCAAGCTTCCAGAGCCTGATGGCTCCTTAAGGCCAGCCTGTTGCAGAAGACCATGTCCCCCAGGCTTAGACCCAGATGGCTACTTGCTCCGGTGCCATGGGCAAAGCGGCTTCCTGTTTGATTTTCCCAGCGTGTCCAACTGACATTTGGAAACCGCAGAGACCGTCCTGTGCATTAATCCTTCCTCAAGGGCCCCGCTTGACTGCATTTCCCAGAGGGTACAACCTCTCCCTCTGTCCATCACTGATCCCAGATCCACAGCCTCTCCCAAGTATGCTTGGCCCAGCCTGTCCTGTGCCATCTGCTGGAGGGCCCCATGGGTGAAGATACCCCAACCCCAAGCACTTCTGCTCTATGCCAGTCCCCTTCAAGCTGAGATTTCTCAGTTTCCATTTATCCAGAGAGTTGTCAGCCCCACAACATAAAATCTTGGTCTGGGTTGCTGATTCCCATCCAGAAAAAAATCAAATCACTTTTATGTGAGAGCCCAGCCTTTCACCCTTATCCCAGGCACAGTTGTCACAAAAGCATGTTCCCTCAACACAGGGCTTAAATTTGCCCTTCCCAAGTAGCATGAGTGGGAAAGGAGAGCTGACTGTTCACCAGGTAGGCTCAACACTCTAACAGACAGGACTTGACACAGGGAGAGCCACATTATGGAGGGCTATGGCCCAGTAGAGCAGTTACCGGCAACAGATAACCTTGGAAGCAAGAGGGACAACCATGGCCTCTCTGGTTCTCAAAGAATGGGCTTTGGGGACACCACCCTCCCTCACTGTCTGTCTTCTTTCACAGATACAGAAGCCTGGAGCTGAGGTTCCTTCCTGCTCAGCCTCTTAGTCTAGGGAGCAGAGCTTGGGGAGGTCATGGTACTTGGGGGATTCAAGCTAGCTCTGCTTGCTTACTGCTGAGCCCTGTGGGAACCATCTTTCTGATACGGTTGACAGTATCAGTATTTCGACTTTCTCAAGAACAAACAGGCAAGGAAAACAGCTTAACTGACAAGGGTCACACAGCCCACCTGACTCAGCCCAGGGTTTAGACTACAGCTCTGGGTATCGTATCCATCTGATCTGGCTCCAGCCCTAATACCCGGAGGTAAAATTCACTTCATCAAGGAGGCCTCAGCCTCAGTGAAGATCAAATTGGTATTTGTGATCCCAGGAAAGGGGGGGGGGTGCTGTCCTAACTAGGTGTCTCTCTCCCTGATAATGCTGATATGGGCCTCTCTGACTCAGAAAGACCTCTCTGGTCCTCACATTCACCTCCCATTCCTGTTAATTTCCAAAGTCAAGGCTGTTGTGGGGTTTCCTCCACATTTCATACTTTGAGGTTTAGAGGACCTAATCTCTTCCAGACACCTCCATCGAAGCCAGGCCTGTAGGCTGTTGACATAACTAGAGTGTGGGACATAGGATCCAGAGACCAGAGAACTGCAAGACCTAGGGCCATGGTGTTGGGGACAGTGGGAGGTGCCTGTCATCTCAGGAGGGAAACTCCCCAAGTGGAAGTCATTTCTCTGGGAAGATGGTTTTTAGAGGGCAAGGGGCTTCAGCCTTACCTGCTGGCCACACCGTGAACAAGGCCACAGAGGCCCAGAGCAGAGCCCAGCTCCAGCTCCTGCTGCCCATCCTGGGGGCAGTACAGAGGGCAGACAGGAGGGAATGAGACAAGGCGCTTGCTCCCTGGGGGCCTGGACTTATATAGCAGAAGACCTTGGCCCAGTGCCCAGTTCCTAGGCTAGGTAAGGTGCTCTCTACTCCCTGAACAGCCACGTGTGTTTGCTCTTGGGGAGGGGCCATGGCAGGAAAAGGCCATGGAGGAGGAAGGATTTGTAGTGCTGTGCCACCAGACACAATGCCCCCACCCCCTGCAGCTTCTGAGAATTGAGAGGGAGTGGACAGGGCAAGGAAGGGCCAGCACTTGGCCAGGGGGTGGAGCTGGATACTCTGGAATCGAAGTCCTGGGCTTGTGGGGTGGGTATTTGGTCAGGCAGCCCCATGTCAGCTCCTCTGAGAGCCTGGACACTGCAAGGATCAGGGTCAAGGGGGCAGCAACCTTGGTTTGTATTTGCCTGGGTAGCTAACCCCAGGTGCTTAGCACTGATTTCCAAAAGAATGGACAAGGCTTGAGGGTAGGCCCACTCTTCAGGGGCCATCCCTCAGCCTGGAAAATGGGGGCCAGGGGACTCTGATTGTGCTCCATCCAGATGACCACGGATCTGGTAGGGTCCCTGTTTTGTGTAGTTTCTGGGGGTCCATGGAGGAGGGGGACCCTCACAGTCTCAGAGAAAGGATGCATCTCTGGGCTCCTGTCTGCTGCACAGCTCAAGCACATGGTGAAAGTGAGTCCCAGTATTGGTTTGGGCCAATGCAAGCCACCGACCTCCCCTGTTGGTCTCTACCCCTTCCCAGGGCCAGCTTATTAACCCTAGGCCTTGACAAAGGAGATGGCCAAGGGTCCAAAAGTCCTTGGACCTGCCTGGGGCTTCAGCTGATGGAACTGGTGAATCCCATACCAGGGGCACAGTGGGGTGAGGGAATAACTGGGAGTTTCCTGACCCTAGAGCCCATCCTGAATGGGGAGTTCCAGAGGCTCAGCTCTCTCAGTTGTATTGGTTGGGTTTCCACAGGAAATGTGGAGAGCCATTTCCTTGACAGTGAACAAAGCCACCAATGCCATTTCTAGGCTGCGCAAAGAGCAGGATGTCATGTCTTAGTACCACTTTCCTGTTAGATGTACACAGAATATGTTCACATCCCTTCTCTTACAGCTGTGCACACCAGATCATAGCAGTCTGAGAAAGTTCCTAGGGGTGGGCCAGGTTGGGGGAGTGGCAGTGTTTGAGTGACTTCAGTATCCTGGAAGTCCCTCACTGACTGCCCCTGCACTTATTTTTCTGAAGATAAATTCCTAGAGATGGAATGTTGGGAAAGGGGAAAGTCCATATGAAAAGTCTTTGAACTGTCTCACCACCAAGAGGGCAGCTACCATCAAACAGCAGAACACAGGTAGTTCTGGCGAGGATGTGGGGAGGTGGGAACGCCGCTCAGTCAGTGGGCAGCCAAGTGGAGCCAATTCAGGGACATCCTGGCACTTAAGTTAAAAATAGAACTGCTATATGGTTTAGCAGTTCTCCTCTTCGGTACGTTCCCCAGAAAAAGAGAAAACAATGACTAATACTGTCACCCCTGATCTAGTGACCTGTCCATGGATGCTAAAACAGGAGTACCCCAATGGCTTGGACAATGGCTGAGCAAGCAATGGCCCATCCCTACAGTGGAAAAGTATATAGAAATTTAAATAAAGAGGGCATTCTCATACCCACAGCAACTTGAGTGGACCTTGAGGATCCTGGTCTCCAAAGTGAGAGTCCTGTAGGATTCCACTATTGGAAGGACCCCAGGGTTGTCAGAGCCGCAGAGACAGAAAGTGAGATGGGATGCCAGAGGTTGAAGAGTGTGTGTGCAATGCGAATAGGGTGTCACCTGGGAAGATGCAAAGTTCTAGAGGTGGATGTGGGCAGCTGTGCATGCTGCTGAGCTTTGGCCTTGGATGTAGTTGGGGTGGATAAAATATAACATGTGGACTTTATCTTGATAATGATTTCAAGAGTCTGCTCACATTTACTCCTGGCATGGCAGATGTCCCCAGGTACCTGGGTGTGCTAAGGCTGGCTGGCAAGCTGACCCTGTTTTCTACCTTTGTCTGTAGTTTCTTTAATGCCAGAAACATTAATGTGTATGGCACATGGGCCTATGGATCCTGCTTAGAGACCTGGTGCTGGGTCTGGGATGGCACATCAGACCTTAGTTCTGTCTGCTGCCCACCCACGTCTTCAGATCGGTAATGTCATCTTTCATGTCCCACTGCTAACTGGTGTTGCTGAAGGACACCCAGAGATGGTCTGGAGAGTGGAATGTCCCCTTCCTAGATGCTCTGTGTCACCAGCAGTGGCTTGCCTAGACCTCTACTGCAACTTGCTCTCCTTGGCCTTCCTACCTGCGCACAGGCTGGACAACAACTGGTGTTCAATAGCACTTAATTCACTGATAAGCTGCCCGCCGCAGGAGAATCCCAAGCACTCCCACCTCTGGAGTGCCCACTGCCTGGAAAGCTGGATACATTACCATTCCTCTCTCCTGCCCAGGACCTGGCACCCTGTGTTCACTGAGTCGGACCCAGTGAGCCTCATCCACCCCCAGATCAGCTGACATTGCCAACTCCTGTCCATCCTCACTCAGAAAAAACAAAACAAAACACTGTAGCCTTTGCACCCACAGACAGCACAGAGTAGGCACCCAATAGATGCACACACTGAACTGGGGGAGCTGCAGCTCCCACCCAAGTCCTTCCCTTTTTCTGGCACTGAGCACATCTCTTGGGATGGAAGGGTGACAGCTGGTTGGGGTCGCGGCTGTTGAGACATCCCGGATGCGGTGGCCACCCAGCCTGTTTGCACAGCCTTCAGAGTTTACCTCTTCACAGTTGAGGGAGTTGGAAGCTGTGGACAGGGAGGAGAGGGACAGGAGGAATATGGTTGTTCCTGCTTGGCAGGGGTGGGGGGAGCAAGTGGTTGGCCAGCCGCCTCCTGGAGTGCAGAGTGTGTGTGTGGGTGCCTCAGCTATGCCAGGAACCAGCCCTGTGGTTTTGACCACAGAGCCTGGGGCGGGACCCTGTCCTTCATCCTGGCCTCTGAGTCCAGGGCCAGCCAGGACAAAGGGAACGGCACTGGGCCACACAGAGCTCAGGGGTGAACATGGTCCCTATGGACAAAGGTTCTCCAGGACCACAGAGAGCCCATGTTGACTCAGCATGGTCAGGCCCATGTCCCCAATACATTCAGAAGCTTCTAGTAAAACTGGTCTCCAAGAGGAAAAAGAGAATGCATGGCTTTCATGGTTTCCAAATTCCAACCTGTTACCAAAGATGCTGTATGGTGACACTGGAGAAGTTATTGGGGTTGGACAGGTCACACTGACTCTAGCATCCTGGTCCTCTGAGCTGTTGCCACATGAGAAATACTCAGTATGCACCCCCAACCCTGTACCAGGCTTCAAGGGTGTGCCTGGCTACCCCTGCCTCCTCCGAAGACCTTGATTCCCCTGGTCTCGACCATGAACCCCACACAGATGCTTCCTGGTTCTGTTTATCTTTCCCTCTGTAACTGATGAACCTAGCTGTGAGTTGGTGCTGACCCAGGCAGGGGTATGACAAGATCCATGGTGTCACTTAATATCGTACAACAAATTGGGACCTTTGAGATAGCAGCACAGTTATCCAGGAGTCAAGAGAAAGTCACCTGTTGTATTGAGAACACATATGTGATGGGCAGCCTCCTGAAAATTAGGGAATGGTGATACCAGAGATTAAACATCAGGGCAAAGACTCTAGGGCAGGGATTAGCTGCTTCAGGGAGCCTTTAAGGCACAGACTAAGGGAGCAAGATAAATGGGCAGGGCAGGTAAGGGGGGATTTCAGAGTTCTTCTCTAGTTAGTGGAGTTGAGATTAACAGGAATATTTAAGCAGAACTACATGACATTTGAGTGTGATAAAACGGATCTAACATAAAATTCCCCATGTTCTCCACACCTAAACATACAGCTCAGGAGCATAAAGCATGTTTATAGTGCTATGGAGGGATTTCTACCATCTCCCTCCAGAACTTCCAGTCTTCCCAAACTAAATACTGTCCAGTTGAACATGGACTCTCCATCTCACTTCCTCCAGCTCTGACAACCCATCTGTGGTAGCTTGAATGTCCATTGGCCCCCATAATTTCATAGGGAGTGGAACTACTAGGAGGTATGGCTTCGTTGGAGGAATTGTGCCACTATGGGGATGGGCTTTGAGGGTACCACCTATGCTCAGGATTCCACCAAGCATGTTAGTTGACTTCCTATTACCTGAAAGATGTAGCACTCTCAGTCCCAGCACCATGGCTGCCTGAATGCCGCTATGTTCCCCAACATGACGGGAATAGACTGAACCTCCGAAACTGTAAGCTGACACCCCAATTAAATGTTTTCTTTATAAGAGTAGCCATGATCATGCTGTCTCTTCACAGCAATAGAAAACCCTAACTGAGACAGAAATTGGTACCAGAAGTAGGGTATTGCTGTGATAGGCTTTCGTATGCTTTTGTTTGGAGTAATATGACTTTGAGCCTGTGGATTAGAAAAGCAGTTGAATGTTTTAAGTGCTGCTTCATGGGCCATGCTAGTAGGAGCATGGAAGACAGTGGTACTGAGTGTGATTTGATGCACTGTGGGGGCTCACTTAAGAGGTTTCCTAGGAGAAGAATTTGAGGATGGTGCCTAGAGATTGTTCTTGTGATATTTTGGTGAAGAAAGTGGCTGCCTTTTTCCTTTGTCTAATGAGTCTGCCCGAGGTTAAAGTGGAAAAATTTTGGATGAATTCTGTTGACAGAGAAAATCTCAAAACAGCCTACTACAGACACTGTTGTGTGGTTACTAGCGATAACTTTCATGAAGATTATAATGAAAAGAAGCAAGCTGAGCAGGGTGAATTGCAAAATGAAAATTTTGAGGAAAAAAGGAGCACCAGGAAGTGGAATGCAGCTAAATTCTCTGTTCAAGGAAATAAATGGATTAAGAAATGGAATAAGGGA